TATGGCCATTGGAGACATATAATTACAACACAGAAATTTTAACTTTATTTATAATTAAATTAAATTATTTGGTCGGATTCCCACGACCAGCAATTAAATTTGAACTCATCATACTGTCACTAATTCCGTGTGTGTACATTATTTTACTTCTGCTTCGTGAAGTACGGTGCAGCCGAACAGTCCCTGTCTAGTGATTTTACTGGCGCTTCTCGCAATATTTTATCAATTCAGCAACCATTACGGTTGTCCTTACATGTAGTTCTTGTCTGTGAAATGAACATATTTTACAGAAAAAAAAAGTTTTTAAATTATATAATAAATATACTAAAAATGAGTCCAGAGACTTTCTTCATTTTCAGATACTGCAGTGATATAGACTTGCGTGGGCTGTATTGGAGATATTTGTTTCAGGGTCCATTTGTTTCAGACTACAGTTGTTCTTAATCGGCGTTGTTGAGAGCGAGATATTTAGTGAATAGTGTACTCTTTATGTTAAATATGCGTCTACCTGTGGTTCAAACGTTACCTAATTTCATCTGATAAATTATAATGTCCGTATAGTACAGTGCGTGGTTTAAACAATTTGATCTAATAACACTTTAATTTGGACACAGGTCAAACAAATACTGGAGGCTATCTTTCCAGTGGGAGTTTTAACTACATGCGCGATTATCATCAATACATATACCATACTTATGGCCATAAAGATCGCTGAATCCGACAAGCGTGTAAATGTAATATCTATTTGGTTTGAGATCGGACTTGGGAGGTTTTCACATTTGGCTACATACAGTAAAATACGTTTATAAAAAAACACGCTTATAACGAACTGACAGATATAACGAACTTTATTTTTGGTCCCGGTCATTTGCTGTATAGATGTTGTATATATGCTTATAACGATCTACGGTTATAACGAACTAAAATTAGTGGTCCATTTGAGTTCGTTATAACCGTAGTCTACTGTACTACAAACCTCTGACCACCAGCCCGACCAACACAGTGTACAAACGACTGATGATAGTGACATTGATATAGGTGATGGTTGGTTTCAAGTTTAAGGATACAGTAAAGTACGGTTATAACGAACTCAAATGGACTACTAATTTTAGTTTGTTATAACCGTAGTTCGTTATAAGCATATATACAACATAACTGAAAGCATATAGTCGGGACCCAAAAAGTAAGTTCGTTATATCCGTCAGTTCGTTATAAGCGTGTTCGTTATAACCGTAGTTAACTGTATTTGATATTGTGCTGTAAATAACCCAGTTGGTCTGGTTATCCTTGAAATGGTTCATCGGGGTGTTCAAGTCAGTGTTTTCAATGGTTCACTGACGCTAGGACAAAGCTGGGAGATTCCGTGAATGTTCACGTGGTTATTTTTCTGCTGACCAGAAATAAGAAAAATATCGCTATCAATATAAATAAATTGTTTAAAGATACAACAATTAAAACCTGTTTAAAAATGTATTTTAATAACTTCAAAACACAACGATTCATGACGAATCGCAACAGATCCGTGTCTATAACGTAAGTGTAGTTATTCTAACCTCGCCTGGCCGTATCCACACAGAAGCATGGCCTACCTACTTAACATTTGGGGGAAATGATATATATAAAAAAATAATTAAGTCACACATGACACTAATTACAACGTTTAGACCTAAGCACCGGTGTCGTGGCTCATTGTTTCATACTGAATAGTTCTCCAGTCACCACCTGTCCGCCTGTTTTATATTGGCTTGTTCCAAGAATGAGGGGCGGCCGGGTAGCCTAGCGGTTAAAGCGTTCGCTCGTCACGCCGAAGACCCGGGTTCGATTCCCAACATGGGTAAAATGTGTGGAGCCCATTTCTGTGTCCCCCGCCGTGATATTGCTGGAATCTTGCTAAAAGCGGCGTTAAACCTTACTCACTTACTCACTCCAAGAATGAGGACAATCAAAGTTGAAATACCAATAACCTAGAAACACAGTTGTCTTAAATGTTATTCATATTCCTTAGGGACATAAAAATAGTGTGTTTTTTATATTAACAAATGATATGGACATATTTCATTTCAGAATATAATAATATCTAATATACAGTGGGGATCGGGTTGGATTCCCAGCACGCCATTGTTGTAAGAGGCGATTATATTGGATCGGGTGGCCAGATTCGGTGACTTGGTTGATAGCATGGGACGTATAGTATAATGTAACCGACACTTGCCTGTCCCAGGCTAGGTTACTTACAGCAGCTGTGATATTCAATATATTATATAGCTTCAATATTTCTGACCAGTCTTGGGTGTAAAACAAACAAAAGCAAATATAATCGTAATGTAAAAGTGTAGATATATCCACCTTTCTGATGCATATTTCTGATATCATCTTCCCTGCTAATGGGTGTTTACGTTTTAAAACAATAGGGTCCATCATTTATATAAAGACAGAGTGTTAGAAACATATTTTTAAACTGAAATCTTAAGCATGTATTGTTAGTGTGATGAAACAACATGCAGATTGACAACAGCTACAATCCTACCATGACATTGAGTGAGTGAGTGAGTGAGTTGGGTTTAACGCCGCTTTGAACAGTATTCCAGTCATATTACGGCGTGCCTACCATGACATTGAAGAATGCTTGATTCTGATTGGCCAAAGCAGGATTTAAATGGTCTCATGCGCTCGGTTCCAAATTCATATAAGAGGTTTCAAATCTTCGGGTTAAAGAGAATATATTTGCAGACAATTTGGAGAAAATGACTATAAATTTTAGTGAAAATGGGCAACATTTTGGAGAAAATGGACACAAGCTCTGGAGAAACAAAACTTACACAAACCCGTATAGTGATTTAGCTCATTTATTGATAGGCTATATGGACTGAAAGTTACGTCAGATGGTCTGTCAAAACTGCCTAACTTCAATTCACTTCTTAAAGCGGCTTATGCTGCAAGAATAACGCAATTATACGCGTTAATTAATACCAATCTTATTAAGTAAACAATGCATTATTTGTCATGATAAAATTATCATGATGAAACTGGTTATGCATCTTTAAGTAATCGTCGACACTATCACAATATGTCTTTTTTTCACAAAATGTGTATTAAGAAAACGACAGCATATCTGTCTGTTGATGATTGTTATTGTGTACGGGAGAGGTCTTTACATAAACTTTTACACTTGTATTGCACCCCCTTTCCTTTTTTATTAAATATTCTTTAAACCATATCGTCAATAATCCTAACAATAAATACATGGGGCCAATTATGGCCCATCGCTAGTCCTCACTTCCCATGTCTTTTGTCATTGCCTCTGGCCTATCTGGCATTTAAGACAGTTGTTACTACTACTTTTTGTAAAACAGAAGAAGAGAAAAAAAAGAAGAATTTTTTTTATTAGAGTGTCACATGCTGCAGTACAAAATATATGGACATATAAACATTTCATTAAAAAACAGCACCCGGCCAGTTGGCCTACGAGACACTAATTACATAATGGTACATTTAAAATATTTAACAAAAAAGAAAAGAAAAATTAGTTGTAACTTTGTATATTACTACACCCACACCCACACCCACACCCACACCCACACCCACACCCACACCCACACCCGCACCCATACACCCACATACACATCCGCATTAAAATCTCGCTCAAAGCATACAAATAGGTAAGCATACAGACAGGTAAGCATACAGGACGCTCACAGCAATCTCATGCAGGACATTCACAGCAGTCTCATACAAAACACTCACAGCAATCTCATACAGAACACTCACAACAATCTCATTCAGAACACTCACAGCAATCTCACACAGAACACTCACAACAATCTCATTCAGAACACTCACAGCAATCTCATACAGAACACTCACAACAATCTCATACAGAACCCTCGCAGCAATCTCATACAAAACACTCACGGCAATCAAATAGAACAAATAAAATAACAATCAATATCCATTGGGAGACAATTGTATAGACTGGACAGCTAAGCTTTATTTGGGTCCATTTTGTGGCCGTTTTCTCCAAACTGCGTGGCCATCTTCACAAAAGTTCGTGGCCCTTTTCACCAAATTGTCTGGGTCCATTATTGCACATGGCCATTTTCTCCTGCACCCGATCTACAGTGAGAACGCAGTAGGTTATTTCCTAAATGAACCTATGTTTTGTATGTTGCTGAAACGACACGTAGGCCTGTTGCCCTCCCACGCAGGCCTTACCAACAGGGAACAACAGTGAGTGAGTGAGTATGGTTTTACGCCGCCTTTAGCAATATTCCAGCAATATGACGGCAGGGGTCACCAGAAATGGGCTTCACACATTGTACCCATGTCGGGAATCGAACCCGGGTCTTCGGCGTGACGAGCGAACGCTTTAACCACCAGGCTACCCGACCGCCCCCACAGGGAACAAGAACTGCCCTAGCTTTAGACGTTGTTTACCAGCGTCACTCTCGACTCACATGCATTGTATGATCAACAAGTCTCTTCTTGTGTATTCACAGCAGCTGCGCATCACGTGTCTGTTCAATGCTCACAGACTTTGATGGTTTGAAGTGTTGGGGGCGTTGCCACCTTATGTCAGAGATCATAAAATATTTTATTGTCTCTGTTTATGCCCTATGTGTACTCAATAATGATGGAGGTAGTGGATCAAGTCAAACGAGTATTAGTGTTTGTATATTTATGGTTTTGTTCAATTCTGATGAAATACTTCAACCCGGAGAGCCAACTCGTGGAGTCTATGTATACATATTGTAGATCTATACACTCCCTTGTCAGCTCTATAAACGGAAACATGACACTTTTGATTTCAAATCACTTTGTGTGTCCGTCTGAACTATACATTCATGATGCATGTGTTTGTTGAATTTCTTGTCAAACTATTTGCATAACAAATTAATATAGTGATCAATGATTCATTTCATGATGACATGAAAATGTTATGTCAAATTAATATTTTAGCGGTTTTCCTAATCGACGGAGTTATCTTCCTTGAATGACTCTCTTAGCAGCGTCCTTGACATTGATAAGAAGCTGATGCAACTGCAACCATGTGAAATTTTCGCCGCTTCGCGATTTATTTAACTTACGATATACGTATACGTTCTCCAGTTCGTGGACTAGATTGTGTTATTTATATAAAGTGTCTGTGTTTGGTAACATTTTCAAGCAAGCAGTCATGGCAGATGAAGAGTTGGTGAGTAAATCGTGTTGGCCTGATGTCTGATCTGAACAATATGGCGGCGTCCATATTGAGCATTTTCGGGCACGTGCAGTGAATAGATAAAGTGGATTCTGTTATTTTCTAAACAGAATTGTATTCATGTCGATTAATCCATTGTGAGCAACATATACGCTGCTACTTTGTATCTAACGATGTTAAATTTTAAAAAATATGGATATGAAGGTAAGGTTTCGCAATCTGTTTACACGGTTTAGGCTAGATTAAAATGATCAGGCTGTTTCAGCCTCTTAAGTTAGTATCTTTATATCTTTGAACAACTCAAACAATACTGACGTATGGTTAACGCCTGTAATTGATAAGCTATACCAGCTAATGGCCACTGCATGAATAGTGAACAGCTGGTGACGACTCTGGTATAACACAGGGTTAGAAATTGGCACTAGTCCCATAGTCCTTGCCAAACTGCCCAATAGTAAAGGTATCCTAAGGACTAGTAGAATTTTGACATTTTTAAAGGTTTTGCTATATGCTATCATTATAAGGACTAGTGGACTGAAACTGTTAGTTTCTACCGCTGTAACATGTATAAATCGAGACCGTTGAGTTCCCTGATTCACACAAATTGACAAATGTCTATATTTAATAACAGATCATAGGTACAAACAGAGGCCATATACCAATATTGGTGTCAGGTGTGAAGGATATTTTCTTATTAAATGTTTGAGTTAGCAGTTTTCGTGCATGTAATTGTTAGCATGGTTAGACTTGCCACTCAACATGCTCAAATGACCAGAATCAGCAAAGTATTTCAAATATTTAATTTAATATTAACCCTGATGCATTTGCACAATTCCTCTCAAAGATGAACATATTGTGAGGTCCTAGAGTCATCACTTACTGATACTGTAGCAAATGACACAAAAATGGAGGTAGCAGATGGTATATGTCATATTTTTGTTAGTTATATTTGTTTGTTGGTTAACGCAGCACTCAGCAATATTCCAGCTGTATGACGGTGGTCTGTAAATAATCGGACCAGACAATCCAGTGATTGACAACATGAGCATCGATCCATGCAGTTGGGTTCGATTACATGCATCAACCAAGTCAGCGAGCCTGACCAACCGATCCCGTTAGTCGTCTCTTACGACAAGCATAGTCGCTTTTACGGCAAGCATGGGTTGCTGAAGACCTATTCTACCCCGGATCTTCAGGGGCCTTGTTAGTTTTTCCATTTACACTGTTCATATTCATTTTATGAATTTGTCTCTTCTCAAACCTTTTTAGCCATTTTGTGAACTATAGAAATAACTTTCCATTTGTCTTAAGTATTTCTCATTCTTGGCCCTTACGCAAAGACTGCTTGACAGTCTCTACAAATCAGTATGTGACGTCATCACTTTTGTGTGTACACACCATGCACACAGAATAGTTGTGGCAGAGAGCAGAAATGTATGTGCATGAAAATTGATAACCCAAGGATGCAGATTCTTCAGGATTTGTCAGTAATTGTTTGAAAAGACGGGTTTCCAGATTAACATTATTTATGGAGTCTGGACTAATAGGGTATCAGGATATGCACGTGACAAATGACCATACGGTTTAATAACATCAAAGGAACATAGCTTCAAATGACTGGTGAACAAATGATAATAAGTCAACCATAATCATTTCTTTCCAGCCCCTCTTTGATCCTAATTTGAAAAAGAAGAAGAAAAAGAAGAAGACTCCATTTGACCTAGATGCGGCCATGGGGGAGAATGAGAGCGGGGCAGCTGATGGAGCGCCCTCGGCTCCAGCAGAAGAGGCAGCAGAGGAGCCAGTGGAGAAACCAGATGAAGGTACGTGAAGTGTCCATAGTTTGAGATGCTGTTGACTCTTTTTCTTTTATCATTGTTGATTTTAGGACACCTTGGATCATGAGATACCACCTTTTTAAAATAAGGTGTTCTTTTCTTGGGTATGGCAAGGCTGTTGCAAGGCCAAGGGCAAAAAAATTATCTTTGTTTGTGCATATGCGACAAACCAAATAAAAAATATCTGATGCACTTGAAAACATATTTTGACGACTAAGAAATAAAAAATAAGTGTCAATCTCATTATGTTCAGCTCTTTTGCTCCCATTCCATACCTTTCTTTGTCAAGATCCCCATGCAGATCGGGGTTAGTTTGGCCAGAAGGATAGGGTGGTCAGGCTTGCTGACTCGGTTGATGCATATCATTGTGGTAACAACCAGCAAACAAGATCGGACAATCATTCCAACAATGTAAGCTGTCAGTTCCAAATGGAGTATGATGAAGGCAACACTACCACATATCACCAAGTACCTAGAATTAGGGGGGTTTCAAGGCATCCCCCCAACCCAACCAACACACAGAGATTACCATGAGCATGTAACATCGCAAATACCATGTCAACGAGGGAAAAGAAGTGATACAATGTGCGTTTTGTCTGTGGAAAACAAACACATTTTTATTGCACATGTTGGGATTATGTATGCACTGGTAATGTCCTTCATTCCAATTTGCTTTAAAGACGGAGTATATAAATAAGCATCGATTTTGAAGGTTTTTACAGGGAGTCGCTTTATAGGCATCAATATACAGTATGCTGTGGATAGTTTAGAATTTCTTTTTAAGCTGTGGTTAAATTGCCTCTAAACATGTTAAAACACTGTAGAAAGCAGTAAGTTAAAAAGTGTATAAAGCTGACATATGCTTTGATGATCAAAATTCTTTTTAATCATGGGACAGTGTTTGTTGAAAGTTGGCCTGATTATGGAGAGAGTGTAAGATAAAACAGAGATGTTCCTCATGAGAAGCACTACCAGTGATTTAAATGAGAAACCCGTGAAGATCTGGGTTAGTATAGGTCTTCAGCAACCCATGCTTGCCGTACAAGGCGACTATGCTTGTCGTAATAGACGACTAACAGGATCGAGTGGATCGATTACTCATGATGTCAATCACTGGATTGTCTGGTCCATTATTTACAGGCCGCTGTCAATTAGCTGGAATATAGCTGAGAGCGACGTTAAACAACAAACAAAAATAAAATGAGAATACTTCTACTGCTGGACGATGTGGACTGACTTCCAGATTCAGATTAAACTTGGATGTATCTACATCATGTTGTATTTTCAAATTATAGAGGTATTTGGGGGATTAAAGAAGAAGAAAAAGAAGAAGAAGCCATTTGACTTGGACGAAGTTGGAGAGGCTCTACCGGTAAGAGAAATAATTAGAATAACTTCATAAAACATCCTGTGTTTCCTCATACTCTATCATCACGGTATGGCTCAAATATTGCCGATGTGACACTCACTCACTCACTCACTCACTCACTCACTCACTCACTCACTCACCCACCCACCCACCCACCCACTCACTCACTCACTCACTCACTCACTCACATGGGTGAACGATACACTGATATTCTGATGCATCGCGATACTTGATCCACGATACGATATATGATAAACGTGGGCCCAGTTATCGATATGCCAAGATACGGAACGCAAATCTCAAGTACAGTGTTTCCTTGCTATTGTGCCCTTCAATTAATCGCTAACTTGGTTATAGCGCGGTAACGCATGGCTCCGCAAAACATACTTACATTTTTAATAAGCTCAGGTTTTATACTGACTGATATATTTTTTCCCAAATCTCAAAAAACATTATCAGCTGATCACCGCAAGCACATAACATCGGAAATACCAGTCAGCATAGTCAGCAAATCCAAACTGAAGTACGCAATTCAATACCATTGTTATACCATCTTGTTATTAAAACGTGTTCATTGTATATCTGGACTGTTTGTAGTATATTTTATTAATTTCATTCAAAATTTATATAATATTGTTTTCATTAAGTTAATTGAAATAGTGTGTGAAGTGATACAGCAACCACGGTCGGATTACTGCTTTTGACGCACTGAAACAAACTTTAGTTGCTAGAGAATGGATACATACATTAAAAAAGGCCATACTTTGTTTTGTTAAATGTCATATTTGTGGCAATTTGGCTAATATATGGCAACATAATGTTTTCGCAATCGAAATACATGTAGCGCGGGAAGTCCCTACGGTGACTGGTCAAATTGTTCCATACGTAAAAATATCCTGCAACAGCGATCACCAGTACCAAAATGCTACGCTTGTGGTTTTAATTATTATAAATATATATATAGTAAAAGCTGCAACTAAAGTAACGCGATATTGGAATATATTATTCCTGATAAAACAATAATTTCAGATACCATTTCTTCGACCATTGCATCAACATTCTTTGAAGTTGTATCACTTATTTTCTGGTGTTTGAACTTTGAACTGTTTTGAAGGAAAGTTCCACTTTGAAGCTTAACTACTTCAGTAGTCATGTTATTATAATATAATTTTGACAGTTCCATGAAAGATTCAATCTTGACATGCTTTAAGTCTTGTTTTTTTATCATTGCGTAAACGTCTGAGACCTGCATCACTTCGGGCTTTCCTCCCACATTAAGCTGACACACCGTGATGTAACTGGAATACTGTTAAAAGCGGCGTTAAACTCAACTCACTCACTCACTGAAGTGAGCGCTGTGTGTAATGGTCTTAACATCAAGGCGCCAGAACGAAGCAATGGAATCATGAGCCCCAATCAACAGTGTTGTATCGAGGGTTGGCTTCTGTTGCATCAGTTTGTGATTGCATCAGATTGTTTGGTCCATATAACTGGGAGTAGCACAGCACAACTTCAACACTTGTACAGCTTGTAACACATTAGAGGGATAGAGACAGAACTGGATAAAAGTGATAGGAAATAATCAAGGTGTTTGTATTTACAATGAAGGTGAAGAAGAAAACATGCTTCTCGGTTTGTATTGTCGGATTGGTTCATTTATTTTGGGGGTGTTTGGGTTTCTTGTCAGTTAACAGTTACCATCAAATGACCTGGCAAAGTTGATGTGTTCATGAATGGGTCAGCCTTGAGTGAAAATATTAACTTTTCAGTTGTTAGATGAAATAAACATGTTATTTGACAAGAAATAATGACTGTTCTATTTATTTGTATTTTCTTTCTGATCTTTTCGATCATGGCCTAAACATGCTAAGATGCCTGACATAAAATGTTATTTCCCTCAAGTAACTTTGATTTCATCATGTTTGTTTTCAGATAAATATAGCATTTTGTCACCAATTTGGGATGAAATACTAACATGTTATATATTGTTCTGAATAAACAGTAAACTGACAAGATAATTATTTTCTGTGAACTATGAACCATGATTTATGAAGATGGACATGGTACATGTAATGAAATGTATCACTTTGTGTGTTTCGCAAGAAATATGTTTGAAAAAAGTAGGATTTTAATTGATATTTTTTCAGTAGTCCTTATATTGCCATGATGAGATCATGTTGAACATGCTCAAGAAAGCCAAAACAATGTCTAAAGTATGAAAAATATGGTTATTATTAATTTAGATAATGGTAGTTGAAAAATGGTTGGTCATGCAAAGATAAGGTTAAGATATATACATGATATATGGTACTAGACACCTATTGTTACCAGCATATAAATAGAAACCCTGGACCAGACAATCCAGGAATTCACATCAGGAGCACCGATCTACACAATTGCCATACAATGACATGCATCAACCAAGTCGTCCAATCTGACCACCCGATGAGTCGCCTGATACAACAAGCATGAGTTCATGAATAGTGAGTGAGTTGGGTTTAACGCAGCTTTTAACAGTATTCCAGTTATATCACGGTGTGTTAGCTTAATGTGGGAGTAAAGCCCGAAGTGATGCAGGTCTCAGACGTTTACCACTTTGGTGAAACCCACGATCACGGGTATGGTGCTGACAAACCTAGAAACATAATCAGGGCGAACCGGGATTCGAACCCACAATCAAATGTTTCTGGCGTGCCCAAGGGATGCAACTCTGCACAGCGAATCGCGGCGCCTTAGACGACTGGGCCACCCGTGCCCCCTAGTTCCTGAATAACAATTGTGAGAAAATCTGGCAATCCATCAAACAACCAGATGGAATATAGTTAATCTTATTCATAATATCAAAGCCTTTTAGTTGTTAGTACCCTGAAAGTCCAGAGTAGAATCGATCTTTCGTAAACCATGCTTGAGGTTTGCTTGTCGTGGCGACTATTGCGATCGGGTGGTCAGACTCACAGACTTTGTTGATGCATGTCATTGTACCCAATTTTCGTGGATCTATGCTTATGATGTCAATCACTGGATTGTCTGGTCCAGACTTGATTATTTACAGACCGCCATCATATAGCTGTAATATTGCCGACTGCGGTGTTAAAAAAACAAACAAATATGTACAGATCCTGTAACCATGGTTTCACTTTCAATGAGTTGAATGACCTGTTTCTCCAGCAGGATGGTGGCGAGGGAAGCGAGGCCCTGGGGCAGAACGAGGGAGACGAGGGTGGGGCTGAGGATGAGGCAACAGATGAAACATTCTCCCTGGACTTCTCCATCAAGAAGAAGAAGAGGAGGAGGAAGAGGGTGGACTTCGGGGAGCAGGGCGTAGAGGAAGATATGGAGGATGGTGAGTACATACATGAATTATGATTTGTCAAAGGAAAAGAATTTGAGCTTTTTGCCGTTGGATGAGTGAAACATTGACTTGCTTGGCAGACTTTGAAATAGAGCAATTAAGGTGCTCTAGAATAGAATTCAATTACAGAAGTCCTCCAAGACCCCAGGATTCCAATTTTGTGAATTGAATCATTTAAAATTCATAGTTCCATATCCAGGACAATGTTTTTAGTTGATGTCCTTATATGTCATCAGTATTCAGGCGAGGAAATGTTTCATTACTGTGATTTTAATTCATATTTACATAAGTTCTTATCCCTACTTATGGAATGATCAAGGGGACAGAACTCTTTCTAAGACGTCGGGGCTCGTGTTGCTTTGGTGAAGAGGGATAAATTTTGTGATACTCTTACAGAGGAGACGAACGACAAGGATGGAAAACTAGGAGACACCAAATCCTGGATTGGTTCTGACAGGGATTATACATATGATGAGGTGAGGTTAGACATGATGCAGGCTTCTTTTTCACTTCCAGTATGATCAACCTTTGAAAAGACCGCCTCCATGGTCTTGTGGTAGAGCATCTGCCCAGAGAGACGTTAAAGATGGTACTTATTGTTACTCTGTCTGGCGCTCGACATTAAGGGGCTAAAACAAGGAATGGTCGGCTCGGAGTCAGTATACTGTGTCTGAGTGGGGTATTCATGTTAAGCTGCGGCATGGTATCTCAGTGAGCTAGCACTATAAGTCGGCATCAGTCCGGACTAGTACAAGCAGCCACACACACACGTGCACACGTCGCTATATAAGTGCAATAATCTTGGACACGATTTTAAACCCCATCTCACTTCAACCTTTGAAAATGTACTTATGAAAATGAATAAAACACCTTTACTTTAAACACTTACCTTGAATAAAGTAACCAAGAACTCCTTTTAATCAACTGTATTTTAAGTCTTAAGATTTGAAATTATTTGTTAACTTTAAGTTCATTTATGTTTTCAGCTTCTGACGCGGGTATTTGACATAATGCGGGAGAAGAACCCGGACATGGTTGCCGGGGAGAAGAAGAAGTTTGTCATGAGACCACCTCAGGTGCTGAGAGTAGGCACAAGAAAGAGTTCCTTCGCTAACTTTGCAGATATCTGCCGATTGTAAGTACATGTACACTCTCACAGATAAGTGTCTGCAGGAACTAAAATAACTCCAGTTCTATCACAATTCTGGGGGCATGGGTGGCCCAGTCGTCTAAGGTGCCACGATTCGCTGTGCAGAGTTGCGTCCCTTGGGCACGCCAGGAACCTATGATAGTGGGTTCGAATCACAGTTCGCCCTGATTATGTTTCTAGGTTTGTCAGCACCATACCCATGCTCGTGGGTTTCACCGAAGTGTTAAACGTCCGAGACCTGCATCACTTCGGGTTTTCCTCCCACATTAAGCTGACACACCGCGGTATAACTGGAATACAGTTAAAAAAGTGGCATTAAACCAAACTCACTCACTATCACAATTCTGTCTGATATGTGGTCTGGTTGACGTGTCTCATCAATAATTGATGTGCCTCAACCATACCTGATTATTTACAGATCAGAATATTAAGCTTGAATGGGACACGGTTGCATAAAACAACATTCCCTCACCAACTTACTGGTTTGGGCTGAAGGATTGTCTGGGATAATATTGACATGTTTTGTGACAGAAATGTGCATTTCTTGTTTCAGATTACATAGACAGCCGAAACACGTCCTTGCCTTCTTGCTAGCTGAGTTGGGTACAAGGTGAGTTGCTTGGCAGATACACTGTTTGTTTGTTTGTTTGCCTGACCACCTGATCCCATTAGCAAGATTAGTTGCCTCTTACGACAAGCATAGTCGCCTTTTACGACATGGGTTGCTGAAGACTTACTCTACAGGGCTTGACATTCAGGGGGTTTGCTGCTGTAGTATTGGAATCTAGGGACCCCCTAGATGTCTTTTAACATTAGGGTTATGAGGAGGGCACCGAACTTAATGCTTAGTAGCAAACAATGCTGCACACAAGGCTAATGATGTGATGAATTAATCATTTAGCAGAACCAAGTAGTAAGACACGTTTTAAGTTCCACCATCAGACACTCACCACCATGAGAAGAGTGTTCCTTCCTTTCACTGACTGGGTGAATCTATGATTGTGGGTCTGAATCTCGGTTCGCCCCGATTATCTTTCTAGGTTTGTCAGCACCATACCTGTACTTGTGGGCTTCACCAGAGTAGTAAATATCTAAGACCTGCAACACTTTGGGCTTTCCTCCCACATCAAGCTGACACGCTGTGATATTACTTGAATACTGTCGTTAAACTCACTCACTCACTCACTCACTCACTCACTCACTCACTCACCCACCCACCCACCCACCCACTCACTCACTCACTCACTCACCGACCGACTGACCGACTTACTCACTCACTCACTCACTCTTGCCAGCACCATATGGGTGTGTTTCACCAAATGAAGAGGTGTACCGGTACACCCTGAATCCCCTTTAGGGATTCCAGGTTAGTATTGGCTGCAGCAGTCTATGCTGGTTGTCAGAGGCCACTCAGTTGATCACGTCATCAGACCCGGTGGCTTCATGTTACCGTTCCCCTAGGGATTGTTGCTCATATTGTTAATCACTGGATTGTCTGGTCCAGACTTAATTGTTTACAGGCTGCTGGAATATAGCTGATTGTGCTGTTAAACAACAAACAAACTAGGTTTTCCTTGCAGAATAAGCTGACACATGATATGACCAGAACACTATTCAAACCAGTGGTAAGTCTCATGTGGCAATACTGGTTTAGACATGATAGACTTGCATTTGCATTGGACACATTGGCTAGTTGTTTAGCCTGTGTTCCACAGAGGGAGGCGGTCGGCTAGCCTAATGGTTAAAGCATTCGCTCGTCACAGCGAAGACCCAGGTTTGATTCCCGACATTGTTACAATGTGTGAAGCCCATTTCTGGTGTCCCCCGCTGTAATGTTGCTGGAATATTGCTGAAAACGGCGTAAAACCATTCTCACTCACCCAAAAGATGTGGATCATAATTAAAAGGACACAAAGTACAGTGTCATTTAAAACCGATTTGAAATAAGATTGTTTTATAACCCAGTATGTTGATCATATATTCTCTGTGAATGTTTCAGCGGATCTGTTGACGGCAACAACCAGCTCATCATTAGGGGGAAATATAATCAAAAACAGATAGAAAATGTTCTTAGGAGATATATTAGTAAGTACAGTGTGATGTTTGAATGCAATAATGATCTTCTAGATAGAAGTGTTGAAATAACACAAATAATTTTGCAATTTTCCTTTTTGTAATGACATTTAATGTCCTTCTTGTATGGACATAAATATCCAACTGTCATAATTACAACTGGCTTAATCCATGCTTAATTAGTGGTTAAATAATACTAGATTTTAGAGACCCTTCTATTAATTTCAGTATCCATCAACTATTAATGTAAAATTTCTATATCAGACCTACCACTTAACTCAGTATATTGTTTAAAATAGTGAAACCTAATCATGTTAGTAGTTGTGACAGTATTCTTATAGCACTTTGGTCCGATATTTGTCTCAACTTATTAAAATCTGATCTTTTACTCCTACACCATATTTCTCAGCACGCCTCCTTAGAGGTGAAGCCTCAGCGACATTTGATCGCCCGGGGCGGTCGGGTAGCCTAGTGGTTAAAGCGTTTGCTCGTCACACCGAAGACCCGGGTTCGATTCCTGACATGGGTACAATATGTGAAGCCCATTTCTGGTGTCCCCGGCCGTGATATTGCTGGAATATTGCTAAAAGTGACGTAAACCCATACTCACTCACTCACTTTGATCGCCCAGTCAGCATGAAGGATGCGTGGGTTCAGATGTGAGCTTTGTCTCACAACTCAGCTTCCTTTTTTTTACCACTTTTTTGGAAATTTAGCTCTGAGCAATAGAAAAATGCCACAGAACACAAATATAACCAGAAACCACCGGGTGTATGAAATATCTTCAACAATATAATAGTGTTAACTTCTTTGATAGGCATTTAGAAGTTGGGAGTACTAAGGAAGGATAAGAATTTATGGATGAATAACTTCTTTGTTACAATTAAGAGCGGCGTTTCGGTGTAGGTTCTAGGTGTCACTTGCTTGATAACGGTGTTAGAGCCTACATCGAAACGTCGCTCTTAATTGTAATAAAGAAGGTAATCATCCATAAATTCTTATCCTAACTTAATATAATAGTGCGCCATGACAATTTTTTGCAATATTTCGAGTGTATCGTCGGATCATAGGTTTTCAGACATCATACGTTTTCGGACAGCCATGGTTATCACAATTAATCCTGCAATTACAAGGCGTTTGGCGTCACACAGACATTGTAAATACTAAGATGATGACCTGTCTTTAAGGTAAAGTCGTCTTTTTTTAAAGTCGTGATGCTTTACTATTGTTCTTGTGATTAACGAGAAAATTACAAATTTTTTCTTAAGCGTCCGAAAACTTAATACACTGGGATATATTCAATTTTGAGAGACAGAAATCAAATATGCTTGTCTGAATGCTCTTCTCTCTCATAACTGATAATCTGGAAGCCTTGATGCTGATTGGATGATTAGAAACCGATGTAGGTGTCCTCATGTCTTCGTGCAGAGAGTTATCGTGTCAGAGTAAAAGATTATATTGTATTCATCTCAAACAACAGATAACTTTGCATATGTTTTATGACACAGCACTTCACTGTATAATGTTTATCACTTGTATGTTTTTTTTGCAGAAGAGTACGTGACATGTCACACTTGCCGGTCGCCGGACACGCTGCTACAGAAAGACACACGGTTGTTCTTCCTGCAGTGTGAAACATGTGGATCGCGCTGCTCTGTGGCCAGCATCAAGTCTGGCTTCCAGGCCGTCACGGGCAAAAGAGCAGCTATCAGAGCCAAGACTACCTAGACGACTTGTCTTCTTTATGTGGAGTACAGAGGTGTTATGCATCATGTTGTAAACAAGTTCACAGATTCTTCCATATATTCTCGGTGAATGGATTGTGAATTTGATATTTGAGATCCAAATATCCGGGGCTAAGACAAGTCCAATAAGAACAGAATGTGTTGGAACACCATTAAAACTATGTTACTTTTTGGTAGACAGTGTGACAGGTTCCTCTTTGACTTAATGGACAGTGTATTTGGATTAAATGAGATTCATTGACTTTGGAAGGCTATTACAGTAAGGTCACGAGCGAAGTAAAGAAAATCTAGTTCTGATCAATGCCAAATGCAGTATGATGTTGGCCTGTATTGAAATGAACATTCAGGTGAAGGAATTCCTATTTAATTGTCAGCTGAGACGTCAGTGTCGAACTGTTCGTCAAACCACTTGTGACTTAACCATTACATGAGGTTCCTTTGTTTTTTTCTGAATCAGTATATAATTAATAACCAGTTTTGATGAATATCATGTACATAAGTGTCAAATTAGAATTTTTATCATTAAGTATAGGGATTTGATGGCTAATGTTAGTATTTTTTAGTATAAACGTCACATTCACCTCAACTGTGGATATTCCTGAATGTTGTAATATTTCATCTGTAATATCTCATCAATGATGTACATACCTGATGATCAAGCCGTATGTGCAGTGTACATGGTGCAATTGTACATTGTGAATACTGTACAGTGTATGACATCCCCCTGACGGGAGGGACTATCTCAGCACTGTCCATGCTTGATATAATAAATAGTTAATGTTGGTTCAATTTGTTCACTTTATTTTCCCTGATATCTTGAGATGAACTCTTGGAAGGCACAAGGTCGTATTTGTATTTCTTTTCTGTGATTCGTGAGGGTGGGGTTGCCTTAGGTATCGCAGTTCACCGTGCAGAGTTGCGTCCCTTTGGCATGCCAGAAGCCTATGATCCCGGTTTGCCCTGAATGTTTCTAGGTTTCTCAGCACAATGTCTGTGCTGACACACCATGATATTGCCTTGAAAACTGCTCAAAGCAGTGTAAAATTCTACACAGTGCCATCACCAGTCTAGCGGCACTAGAACATCACAAAATATTCCATATCAGTCCACGTTGTTCCAGAAGTGTACACATCACACTAGCATCTAAATATAGTAACTTCCTCAAAACTGCTGACATTAATTATTACTACATTCCTGAGAACTAATCACTGTCCAAATAAGTTCAATGAGCCTCTACTAGGGCTGGAACGGGTACCTCGGGTGGGTCCTGAGTAAGACCCGGGTACCCATATGACTACCTGGACCCGTGGTTAGTCATGTGATATACTGTTAAATGACATTAACAATAAAACTCAGTGGTTACACTACAAGTATAGCTAATGTTCACACATTGCTTTCTCACTATGCAAGCATTCATTTTATATGTTCGAGTAAGGATAAAGCTCTATCAGCTGCTGTGTTTGCATGACCAAATCGTTTTATATGTGTATCTAAATACTTTTAGCCAGGGCTGCTGTGAAACAATTCCCATTTGGACTTTTTGTAACCAACTTTTGAGACCTATAGCGGGTATCGGGTAGGGCCGAGTAAGTAATAGGTTGTCAGTACCTGGGTAGTAAATTTAGTCTCGTCCCAGCCCTAGCCTCTACCTAATCTCAACACAAACAATGTAACAGTTACAATTATTGTTCAACAATAAAATACACCTCGATAAAACACTTTTTGTACATTGTCAAGTTTGGTTTGTTTTTTGAGGGACCACAAAGTATGGCTTTGTAACAATTAATGCACAACACCTATCATTCCAGGCTGCACTGACCATGTTCATTGTTTTATGTGAAAGAGTTTGACAGCATTGCCCTGAGGTATGTCATGAAGTCTAGGGCAGAGTAGTCAACTGATGAAATTTCAGGGCAGGGTATGTCACGTGTATCTGATGCTTGTTATGGAGTTAGTTGATGAGGATTCATAGCCAGAGTATGTCCACAAGTTTTAAGTTCACATTTTGTCTTGGCTCAATTTCATGAAATATCTTGAATATCTTCAGCCTATATGGTCCCCTTATTTAAGATGGAATTTGTTGAAGTTCAAATCTGAAATGTTAAGACGAAATATGGACTTAAATCTGCCTGGTCTAGTGGTAGAGTCTGCCCGAGGAGCAGAAGGTCGAAGGTTCGATCCCGGCCGCATCATATCAAAATACGTTAAAAGATGGTACTTGTTATCACCCAGCCTGGCGCTAGGCATTAAGGGTCTAAAACATAGACTTGTCGGCTCGGAGTCAGTATACTTTGTCTGTGAGATGTATTCATGTTAAACTGCGGCATGATATCTCAGTGAGCTAGGACTATAAACTGGGAATTAGTGGGGACTAGTACAAACAGCCACCCACATTCACAGGTGCATGCACGTCCCTATATAACTGCAATAATCTTGAATGCGACCATTCACCTCACCAGTCATTATGCTCCTGCAACTTGGATCGTTGTCTTATTTCGTGGCTCATGCTCTCAACCACTGGTTTACCAGGCCCAGACTTGATGCCTTGAATATTGCTGACTAGGCAAATCATCATCATTATCAACATCCATGCGCTCTGAACAGTAGCATCTCAATTTAAGAATCGGTAGTCAGGCTTGTGACTTGGTTCATTGTTCATAATACCAGTCACTGGATTGTGTGCTCCAGTTATTAACAAGCTATCGTCATACGGTTGGGATATTGCTAAGATAACAAACATTACACAGGGATGTTTTGGGGATTTGTTGTCGCCTGTGAAATACACCTGTGAAGATCCGGGTCAGAATGGTTCTTCAGCTTCCCACGCTTGAGGTAAAAGGCGACTTCGCTTGTTGTAAGAGGCGACTAACCGGATCGGGTGGTCAAGCTCGCTGACTTGGTTGATGCATGTCATCGTATCCCAATTGCGTGGATCGATACTCATGGTGCCAATCACTGGATTTTCTGGTCCAGACCGCCGTCATATAGCTGGAATATTGCTGAGTGTGGCGTTAAACAACAAACAAACTGTTCGTTCATATTGAACAACACTACTCTTCAGTGGGTTTAATAACATTCAAGAGACCTCCAAGTCCGTGGACACTGTTACGTGAAGTAGAATTACCGTAAAAGGCAAATTACCAGTTTGATGTACATGCATAAGTAAAAAGAACAAAAGCTTGATGTTTTTGGCATGACCCCCTGAAGCAATACAGAACGTTTTTTTAAACAAAACACTCACGTTTGAACTAAACCTCAGTTCTCAATGTAAAGGTATACAGCTGGTATAAGCAAACTGGTCATGCCTTTCTTAGAGACATACTTAAATGTTTATGACTTTCACACTAAACACAGACCCTACCCTCGGTTGAATTGTTTAAGAGGAAAACGCCGAAAATAGTTCGGCAGTTGGCTGATGTATGTACACAGTCGACATTCACCAATCTGTACAGTGTATTTAGTCATCTTCTGGTTCTGCGGTAACATTTCTGAAAGCGGCCGATAACACTCGCGCGCTAGTCATTGAAGCGTACGTAAAATATATTCTTGCACGAAGTGTCTCAGTATGCATGTTAAATCCCCTCATCTCGCAACACATTTCACGTTAACCCGTTAAACCAAAGTTAAACACTTGAACACATTGGCAATGCATGTATTTCCCACATATTCACTGTGATAATATGAAAACATACACGACAAGTTAAAATTGTTCTCAGGAATCGAGAGGTTGTGAACAAACTTAGTTCAAACGTCGATACAAAAACTATTTAGATAAAAGTTACTTGGCAGTGATATTCCCCTTTTACACTGCTGTTTTCTGTGAAAGATCTGTAGTGAGTGAATTGGGTTTAGCGCCGCTTTTAACACTATTACAGTTATATCACGGCGTGTCAGCTTAATGTGGGAGGAAAGCCCGAAGTGATGCAGGTCTCAGATTTTACCTATGAGCACGGGTGATGTGCTGACAAACCTAGAAACATAATCGGGGCGAATCGGGATTCGAGCCCACAATCATAGGTTTCTGGCGTGCCTAAGGGACGCAACTCTGCACAGCGTGCTCGTGGGTTTCACCGAAGTGGTAAACGTCTGAGACCTGCATCACTTCGGGCTTTCCTCCCACATTAGGTGAGGTGAAATTGGGTTTAACGTCGCGTCCAAGATTATTGCACTTATATAGCGACGTGTCCTCCCACATTAAGTTGACACGCCGCGATATAACTGGAATACTGTTAAAAGCGGCGTTAAACCCAACTCACTCACTCCTAGCCTTATCTTCCAAACACGCATTGGAAACAATGCACACAAACACATCTCAACATTTGATTCTGACGTGTTGGATTTGTATGCGCGCTATTTCAACTGTTCTGACAGTTACGGTTATATCCCTATATATGTTTCGAAACGAAAATCGCACAATACGAAGCAAGTGACTTATCAAAACTACGTCACTATTACTTTTGCTACCCCTAAAGATACCTACATTTCCAAATTATTTCCAAGATAAAACTGTATTTCATTTTGTTGATCAATGTGACGATACTATCAATAAAAGCGACAAATGTGCAAATTACGGTTGGCACGGCACAGGTCGCGAACTAATCGACATTTCTGTGATATCACGGAAAGAAAGAAACAATAACAAAGGCAACAACCAGTCCCGTTGTCAGAGGGATCGGTGCCCCTTTAACTTAATCCCGGCTAGGTACGGCACTACGGCGCTGCGTTGGAGCTTGTGTATCAGGGACCGGTCAAGCGCAAGCTCCTTCCCAGCGCATTACACATTCTTTGCAACGGGCTAGCACTGTGAGGAGCTTCGGACAAACGCAGTGAAGAGCTTGCTGTGTTAATTTAGAGTTACCTCCCTTTAATCCTCTGTAAATACGGAACAAGTATCTTTCACAAAATAATCTTCTCATGTCGCGTAGATTGTGTGATCATCGATCGACGCTTGCGAGATCGGGCATTAGAGTGATAGGCGACGGGTGAGACAGTCGCAACCATGAGCGCTCCGGACATGTCAGGAAGTTCCTCGAGTCCGGCAATGATAAAAGAAGAACTTAAACAAAAGTTTTGTCGTCTGCATCAAAAGGCCAAGGAACTTGGTTTGAAGGATGAAGACTTTAAGAAGATAGAGGCCTTAAAAGAAATTTCGCAAACAAACAAGAAGAAAAATGTTATAACTTTGTACCTCTGGAAAAGTTTTGGAGTGGTTTTCGCCGTGTATGTCGCAATCTGTTTAGTTTGGTGTTTGGAGTGGCCTATCCAAAATGATGTTATGCTCTCAGTGTATTTTCGCCTTCAAGGGCTCAGTGAAGAAGATATTTATCGCGAACCATGCGTGTTAGAACCGCTGGAAACCCTGCAAGATGTGTTTCGTCCCCCGCTCTCTTGCGACTTTTGTAAAGGGGTAAAGGAAATCGACAGAGTTTCCAAAATAAAACCTGAGCAATTTGAAAATAAATACGCATATTCAGCAAGGCCTGTTGTCATAACTGACGGGATGAAAAACTGGACTGCAACTGAAAGGTTTAGTTACTCGTTTTTCAAGAACATTTATAAGGAGGGTAGCCCTGCCCTGGAAAACGTTGAGAATAACTGTCAGTTCTTTCCATACAAAACATCTTTCAAGAATTTGGGAGAGGTTTTCCAAATGGATGAAGAGAGAGCAACTATGAAAGATGGATCACAGCCCTGGTATATTGGATGGTAAGACATATTTTGATATAAATTTCAGCTTCATCTAGCATATCTTGAGGAACCATAATAGATAATGATAACAGAATATGTTCAACACTATTTTCATTCAAGGATCCGAGGGCTAAAGATAGGAGTTGTGGGTAACCTACCCTAACCCTACCACAGCTAACCCGAAGGATTGTAAATATATATTGTATGTACATAATACGTAAATATGTATTATGTATTTGTAATTAACTTGAGATATACCTAGGTTTTATGATGCTATTGGGTGGCGAGCAGATTCTATAATCGTATCATAGTATTATCTAAAACTACGCCTTTATAGAGCCGGTTGTTTTACGATTGAAACTGAGCTCATGTTTATGTTCATTCATGTTTGTTCATGAAAATAAATTCATTTGTTGATTAGAACATTTTTTTCCTACATTTAGGATCTAACATAAAATTTGAAGTGTTGCTAATAGCCACACCATGTAAAGGATATTTTCATATGGACTTTGTATAGTTATCATCACAATATTGATATATTTGGAATTTTTTAATGTCAATACAGTATCAATACAACTGATACAAATTGATGAGTATTGTTACTAAATAAATAATTCACTGCATAGGAACATTTTCTTTTGTTAAGATCACCATGGTAAAGATGAACAAAGAGAAGCCTGAAGTTAAATTTTATGCATATTTAGCATTAAATTGCAGGTCTCTAGGTAACTTTTATCTATACACATACAAAATAATTAATCTTATTATTTGATATACAGATATGTATCATGATGCTTCTGAGTTGACACCCCCAGTCACCAGACATTTGATCATTGTCCCCTTAAATAAGGCTGGGCACGATTTAAGAAACTTGACTTAATTTGTTTCAGGTGCATGTTGACATGAAAAACTAGTTGCACCAGACATACCCAGGTTGCACCCTGGTTGCATAAATTTATCTGAGATGAAACATAGATGCATAAACTAGCCTAAATAAGTACAATCCCAGATCTCTGATGATCACACATAACACAACAATTAGTGATCTAGTATGGTAAATAAAGCATAGAGGATGTGAGTGTGTTCGAAGATCGTTGTTGTGCAGATAAGTAAGAGACACAAATTTGAATTTTATTTTTTCATGCACTTGGTGCATGTAAACATAAATATTTGGTTGCATTTTTCAATAATAGGTTGCACTGTGCATGTTTTAAACAGCTAAATCGAGGCCTGTAAGGTGAACAGGCAAAGAAACTTGCAGAATTTCTGGCAAGAAATGTGTTCCCTGTATGAACAAACATTTTAATCAAATCATGGAAATATGATACACTTCCTTGAGTGTCAGTTGCTAACAAATCCTTCCTGTGTTGTAATTCAAGCTGCTTAGATTGTCTTCCTCATTACAGGAGCAACTGTGACTCCAATGCGGGGAACATCCTTAGACAACACTACCACAGGCCCTACTTCCTCCCCCCTGTAGCTGAGTCCAGCAAAACAGACTGGGTCTTCATGGGAAGTCCTGGCTATGGTGCCCATTTACATGTAAGTGCCATTTTCAGTGTTATTTAATTTAGGCCAAACTAAACATGATAAAACAGTTTTGTTTCTTGCATCATGGCTTCAACGGATATGGGTCTGGAGGTTGTTTTTGTTTTTATAGATATCTGTTGTCAACCAGATAGCAACCGTAACAATTATCACGCACATATAATGTCTATGCCATGCACTTAACAGAATAGTCAATGTGACTTCATAATTGTTTAATTGGTCACAACTGTCTCTGGTTGGTTTGGCTGCTGTTTGGCCTATCTGAATGAGCCAGTTCCCTGATCACGAAGATATGTTTTTACAAGTTACGAGTATCTCATTAAAATCAGATCTTAGTTTTCGCTACCGCTGAACAAAGATCTGAGGACATCCTATTACGGGTCACGTCAGAACGACCTTTCGCAAATTTTGACCAACCAATGAAATGACTGACAAGAAATCAACATTAGCCAATCAGAAGGCAGCTTTCTTGAGCTTTACGACACTAGTTTCAAACGGGCGACTACGCTTCGGAACATATTTTGACGTATTCTCAATTAAAAAATTTAAAACTGATAAGAAGAACATTCTGGAATGGCTTATAGATGGCCTAGATTGCATGGATATAATCATAAAACCCGTAACTGTTGTTCGGAATACCCCGTGTTAAATATTTTGTGGTTGCATGATTAGAAAACACATTCCGACAGTCACTTTCATGATCTGGTAAGCGACGCTCTGATTGGTTGAATGAAAGGTCGTTCTGACGTGACCCCTAATGGCATGTCCTCAGATCTTTGTTTAGCGATAGCGAGAACTAAGATCTGATTTTAATGAGATTGGGCTTAAACTGTGAAATTTTACTCAGCCATGATGACAAGGTAGTGGCTGGGCTAGTTCTCAAAGTTGAGCCTAATGTTCCTGTGATGGGTTGTACAACTTGTAGTCAAAACAGCCTCATGTCACAATAGCCTTAAAACTCAAAAGTCAGACACAAAAAGTTAAAATGGCCACAAACCTATGGTCAAAAAGGCCTTCAAAAAGTCATAATGGCTACAACAAAAAGCCTTGATGTGACATGATCATGGCTAGACGTGCTTTCCTCAACACACTTGAAGTTATGTAAAATCCAACGAATGCGATGAAAAGGGAAAGGATTTTAAGACTACAGTTAAACATATGTAAGCAACAACATACTGCTTTGCAAATATCCTCATTATATGTGCAGATGAACTTTGTAGATGTTTACAAATTTGCAAAAGAATTACTGGCCAAGCTTAGTTCACAATGTGTTAGAACATGTGTGATAAAGCACATCTTTATGGAAAATACACCTATCTCAAGTATTCTCAACTAAATGAAGTCTCCTGATTCTGACAACTGTTAACAAAAGTCAGTGACTCTGACAATTGTGATAGCCACTGCGACACATCAGTATCAGTATGAAAAAAGAGACTTTAAATGCTTATACAGCTAAGCCAAACCCGAACATCAAACCATCGATGAAATCTGTGATGTCATCTGTGTGATCAATAGTGCTGAGTCAGTTAGAATTAAGAGCTTTGCACATGGTGCATGTGACCATCAACAATGTTCACACAATTAATGTGGCATAATAACTGAGCTTGTAGTCTTTATTTGTGTGCCTTAGTTTGAGAATACAATTGATTAGTTGTCTATTGTATATAAAATCAGCGTTCCCGTTTACCAGTAATTACCATTTTTTTACCGGTAAAATTAGGCTTGGACTGGTAATTCATGTTACTGCCAGTCCCTGTGGACCAGCAAATAAAGTACCTCATGCATCTTTGTCATTGAACAAAACATCGGTACATTTTTCGAACAAAGTCAGCTTGTCTGTTACCATCAGTGTTTCCCCACGTCTATTTCTAGGTTAAATATCCATTTGTAGCGACTTGGTCTTGACATATTAAAACAAAAAGAGAAAATTGTGACTGAAGTTTGTGTGAATGATGTATGGATCTTACTAAGTTACTTCAGAGATGACATCTTTGCACTGAACATGATGTTGAAAGAATTAAAACCAAATAATTTTCATATGTTTTTTTATTTGGTGAAAGTTGTGACTGACAAAATTTAGGGGAGACTGGAAATGTTTAGAGTAGCCAGTCCACAAGGACTGGCAGTTTCAAAATCCAGTGGGAACACTTAAAATGGTTCTCAACTGGATCAGTTTTGTGCCATTTTCCAAATGCAATGCTTGCTGTATCTGTGTTGGGGGCTCTAAAGGTGAAAAGAGTGTGAGCTAAGATGAAATAAACTCCAGACAAAGAGACAGGGCTACTTGACTTTTCGAATATCCTAACAATGAAGACAACACATTTTTTGTCAAGAAATATGAAATTAGGGGTGTCACGATAAATCAAAATGTCGATATATTGCCATTGGTAAGCACTTAAAGTCAATACATCGATTGTTAAATCAGTTTCTGATCATTAATAACGATTTCAGTTAGGAATAGTGATAGTTTCGATCGTATTTACCATATCAATGAAATACATGCAATGCTGTTCAAATTTGTTTTTCTATTGATCATGAGTAGTAGTAATTTACACATGGTAATGTGGAAGTTTCTTTTTCTTAAATTATAAGGGTAATGAAAAAACAAATCAGACATATCTCAAACTTTACTTTTTATTAGTTGTTATGGTTATAACATTCAAAGGAAACTTCAGTTCTAAGTTCAACTCTAAAATCCATCTAAAATGATACACTGAAAAATATCGATATTTATCGCTTTAGTTGCTTGCAATATCAATTGTTATCGCAATAGTTTCTTTCAGTATCAATAGTTATCGCAATAGTGATTTCCAGACCAATAGTCACCCCTACATGAAATACAGGTACACATGCATTACACCGAACACCAATCCACAATGTTTGTTTGATGCTACTAATAATGTATTTTGTATCTACTATGGTAATTAAAGATTTCACAAAGCATTTAATTCAAGCTGTTGAGTGGGGAGCAAGCCCCCCAAACCCCCTATTCTTTTAGCAAGGTGACACATCCTTACCAAAATGGCGGTATGTGACCAGTATACTGCATTCTTGTCGAAATACAATAAATTCTTCGGGATGAGATATAAAAGAGAGTGAATAGAATTTTTTTGTTTGAATTTTTGAGTGGCACTGTTTTTTAGGACAGGCCGGGTTGGGAAGCATATGTAAATTAAATATAGTGTATTAAGGATGTATTTCAATGCAGTCCTCCCAGTTCCCTGATAATGAGGTGTAACAGATTGAGCTACCTGAAAGGCAGCATTAACATGGCAGAAACACTTCATAGACAGACAAATCTGTCACTTCACATGGCCTTGCAAAATGAAACATATCCTCTGACGTGTCTGAATCTGTGATGAGGAAATATTACATGAGTCTTGGTTTGACATGTCTCAGTCTGTGTTGAGGAAATAAAAAGGTAGATTTGGTTTAATTGTGACTCTGACAATTTCCTTCAATGCAGAAGTAGTGATGTTAATGTAGAGGCCAAAAAAATTCCAAGTCCATGATGAGACAGGTGCGTTTTAGTGATGATATTGTTCAGTGGCTCATCTGAAACAGAAGCTGGTACCGTATCGACGTAATAAGCGCCCAGGGCGCTCTTAAAATTAGAAATAGGGGGCTCTTATTAGAATATTATTTTGGTGAAAAAACAGAGTTAAAAGATAAATTTCGTGGTTTATGCTGACAGCCTGAAATGTTTATATACGACAGATATATTTTTCCAGAATTTAATTGCCCATAATTAAGGGTGCATATAACACACGAGTGCGTATTATACGCGAATAAATAAGTCTTGTGTACATTGATCAATCGGAAGGGGTGCTAATTGGGATTGTTCACTAGCCAATATATTAGCAAATATCGCCGTGGGCGCTTATTAGAGCGGGGCGCTTATTACGTCGAATACGGTAAGTGACCACCATCCACACCACATCATGATCATAAAGGTTATAACAGAGCCTATTGAAGACTGATACAGTCTGCCACTTTAGCCACTAGTCTGAAGCCTGTGTGTAGTCAAGTTCTTTTTGTTCTACTGAGTTAGAAATTGGCACGAGTTCTGCAGTCTACTAAAATGCCCAATAGTTAAAGTATCATAAGGACTAGTAGAAATTTGCCATTATTAAGGGTTTTGCTATATGCTATCATTATGAGGACAAGTGGACTAAAACAGTTAATTTCTATCACTGGTTCTAGTAAGCTCAACAGTCTACATGTTTATGGTAATACTAAAATCTACTGAAAATGATGCTGAGAGCCATGTTTGGGCAAGTTGGCTCAAAAGGTTTTGGCACAGACTGTATAAACGCCATGGGTAGACACTGTTGGTCCTGCACAACTACTACACAGCTCATTTCAGACTTATGGTAAATGTAAAATAACTAGATTTTTTAAAAACAACTACCGTATTCGACGTAATAAGCGCCCAGGGCGCTCTCAAAATTAGAAATAGGGGCCTCTTATTAGAATATTATTTTTGTGAAAGTTGAAAGGCCGTATATTTTGTGGTTTATGCTGACAGCCTGAAATGTTTATATAAGACAGATATATTTTTCCAGAATTTAATTGGCCATAATTAAGAGACATATAACACACAAGTGCGTATTATACAGGAATAAATAAGTCGTGTGTACATTGATTAATCGGAAGGGGTGCTGAGTGGGATTGTTCACTAGCCAGTATATTAGCAAATATCGCGGTGGGTGCTTATTAGAGCGGGGCGCTTATTACGTCGAATACGGTAGTCCCTCAAGATTTCACTAGTCTCAGAATAACTGACTAGTGTGTCTAACCCTGAATGCAGTCCTCCCATTTCCTATGATGAAGTGGAACAGACTGGTACAACGGCATTAACTGATAACGTGGCAGAACATTTCATACACATCTGTCGCTTCAGTGTCAGTGAATGAGAAACCTGTGACTAATTTGTTTTCTTCGCTTACTGATGCCAATGTAAAGAAGGAATTCAGCAACATGAAATATACTCCACCAAAACAAATGTAAAATGAATGATGTGAATATATATGTCAAAGTTTTACACATAGAGGTACAGGAATCATGAATATAATAATATAAAATTGGTTTTCCAAACATTTTATTGTCATGAAAATGCAGCTAAGGCAAAACGCAGATCACAAGTGTGCATATTTGCCTAAACACATCCGCATGAAAAAGAAATGAGTATCTGCACATGAACTACGAACATATTGAAGTGTTGTTGTTTACCTCTCTTCTTGACCCCTGAAGATCCACGGGTAGAATAGGTCTTCAGCAACTCTGACTTGGTTGATGCATGTCATCATTTCCCACTTGCGTAGATCGATGATCATGAGGTCAATCACTGGATTGTCTGGTCAAGACTCGATTATTTACAGACAGCCTTCATATAGCTGGAATATTGCTGAGTGAGACATTAACAAACAAACACACAAACCTGTCTTCTTTATATGGGCGATTGCACAACAACAAACACTGCGAATGAGTGAACCAGAAAGAAACATCACCATCGGTTGTTTGGAAACTGGTGAATCTAGGTCGGATGTAGCAGGGCATTTCATGTATCCCCAAGCAGCATATCAGACTATGGAATTGCTACCAACACCAAGGGACAACACATGACTTTCTCAGGTCTGGTAGTCCTCGTATTACCCGGGTACCTCATAGCCCAGTCCAGGCACCTCAACTACCACGGCGCCTCTACAGCAAAAACAGTTTGGCATAGGATATCACAATGGTAGTAACTAATAGTTTTCGTCCACTAGTCCTTATATTGATGTAGCAAAACTCTTAAAAAGGGCAAATTTCTACTAGTCCTTATGATACCTTAACCTTTGGGCAGTTTGTCAAGGACTATCGGACTTTTGCCAATTTCGAACGCTGATATCAGCCCAGACATTGATGATCTTTGGGCCAGACAGTCTGTTCAAGGTATCGTTTTGATTGACCAACATCATCTAATACTTTGTCAGTGGTGTCATGTGCACAGAGTATGGCCTCACCTGCGATGGAGAACTGTTTTGTTCACGTTTTTTTGCTTTGTCATACAGTTGGAAGATGTCAACATGAATGTTTTGTGCCAACCTGCATAAGAATATATTTAGCTCAAGTGGTCTGTTAGTATTATACATTGACCATCATCTGTCAAGCTTGCAAGGGAAGGAGTCATCTAATAACAGCTTAAGATTATGCCACCCCTTCACAGCCTCCTTGATTGCTAATATTTTGATGAATTCTGTGTTATTTCATGATTTCCACACCGTCCTCTGTCTTCCTCAGCTGGACAATGTCGGCCATGCTTCCTGGCAGGCCCAGGTGACCGGTACAAAGAAGTGGACGCTGGAGCCGCCAGTCGAGTGCTACCTGGAGTGTGAAGGAACCATGGAGGTCATCGTCAGACCAGGCGATATAAGTGAGTTACAGGCTACATTTTGTTTAGGGCATGAGTTTGTTTTACTGTGTTTTACTGTGTGTTGGACAATATGCACTTATGTCACAGCAAGATGGTGGAGACATGTACTATGTCATCGTCAGACCAGGCGATATAAGTGAGTTACAGGCTACATTTTGTTTAGGGCATGAGTTTGTTTTACTGTGTTTTACTGTGTGTTGGACAATATTTCACTTATGTCACAGCAAGATGGCTATGCCAGCCCCACCCTTTGATAACTAGTCTTGGACCTTGGTATCTAATATCATAGATGTTTGCCACTCAGGTGAAATTCATGAACATAGGTATGATGCAGACATGGGATTGTAATCTGGGAAATTTGGGATTCAAACTATGATCTGCAGATTCTGGCATTTAAAGGGACACAACTCCGCAAAGCAAAGTGTAGCGCCTTACACGACTCTTACTTACCTCCATGTTAAACTAGGGAGTGAGTGAGTTGGGTTTACACCACTTTGAACAGTATTCCAGTTATATCACAGCGAGTCATCTTGATGTGGGTGGAAAGCCTGAAGTGATGAAACCCGTGAACATGGGTATGGTGCTGACAAACCTAGAAACATAAATTGGGGCAAACTGGGATTCAAACCCACCATCTTAGGTTTCTGGTGTGTCCAAGGGTAGCAACTCTGCACAGCAAATTGTGGCACTTTAGAAAGGGAACCCGTGCCACCCATTAAACTAGGGAAGAAAAACAACTATTGAATACTGTTATGTTTCACGAAATATTCCATAAGTATCATAAGTTAACCATGTTAACTGACATGTTGACATTTAACTTTAGCATAGAACAAGTAGTGTTTGATGGAATGGTACATCTTACTTTCATTGTTTTCTTATTGTCAGATTTAGTTTTTGGACATCCTAAGTTTTCGGATGGCCAAGTTTATTGAAATTACTCGTGCTATAACAAGGGGTGTGGCGTCACACAGACATTGTAAATATTTGGATGATGGCTTGTTTTTAAGATGAATTTGTCTTTTATAAGTGAGTGAGATGTTTTACAGTTGTTCATATGATTAGTGAGAAAATTACAAATGCTTATAGCATCCGAAAACCATATCACGAGGATAATTAATTTTGCTTACAAATGCCATGAACCTCAAAGCTGACATTTCTATCTAACATTAATACTAAGTAGATCTACTGATATTTTTCACATAACACATATTTAAGAAAGTTAAATAAGTCTTGACAACATCTGTTGACTTGTTATAGTTGCATCACAAGGGCATATTTTCACTCATAGCTGACATTATTAGATGAAACTTTCATTAATGTGTGTTATATACTGAAACAGTAGCATTATGTAGTACACCCATCTTCCCGAGGCAAGGGCGTTAACTGACTATAAAAGTCCTGTTTCCACCCTTGCCGAACTAGGATGGAATTTCAAGGCTTGATCATATCGCCACCAGTGGCTAATTCAAGTTATGTGTCTTCTATGTCCCTCCTATTGACCAATCAGATTCCATCGCTCATATCGCTTGCAGTTGCTTCCAACAAAATGGCGGGGCCCAGTCAAGATGATCTCATCGATAATCAAGATCTATGTTGAAATAAAACGGGTCTTTTCACGTGAAGTGCATGAGATCACTTGAGCACCTTGATTAAAAACATGAAAATATTTGCAAAATATCTGTTGACGCCAAGTTGACGGTACACATGCTTTGCAAATCCTGCAGTCGACAGACCTCTGCACATGAAATCCATGTTGTTTACGAACCGGATGTCTAGTTAGTTACACAATTGTGATTGGACTATGCATAGACTTGTTAGTCCAGCCAAAATGTTACTCCGGAATTCCAGTCTAGTTCAGCAAGGGTGGAAACTGGACCTTTTTTGTCAGTTAACTCCCTTGCCTGGGGAAGATGGCAGTACACCTTGTAGACTGCAAGAAACATACTGACACTAGCTGAGACACAGAAGATGGAACCATAGCTGGCACACATAAACTGCCACTGTGGACAAGTGCTACGTACATCACAAGGGTTATTTGAATGGCACTGGCTTTTTAGAATGTTACCATGGTTACTGTACTGATAAATAACAGGTATGAGGCTGGTAACGAGTTGAGTCAGTTAGAGCAGATTCACATTTCTATTTATGGAAGAAAAAGTAGTTGCGTAGAGAGTTGACATTTTAGCTGTAGGTTAATGTGGGGATCACATAAACAAGAAATATCAAAGCGTTTTTGAAAATAAAAGGACAGGGATATAAATCATTTCTCAAAAATGGTGTGAAAATGAAAGAGTTTCATTTGGTTTATTTTCGGAGGATCGCTTGCATGTCTCTTATCTGTGTGTGTGTGTGTGTTTGAGCATGGTCACTCGAGGGTGAAATTAAGGGGACCTCAATAGCTTTATTACTCTCTCTGTACTGTAACTCAGTTCTGGATATAATCTCAATGCAAGACAGGTATTGATTCCGGTATTAAGTGGATGAGAGAAGGTTATTAACCGCCGTACTGGAGCGATTGTACTGAGGTGTAAGCCTACACAGAAAACAAGCCATAACCTGATGTGATCCCAAATTTCAAATTGAATTTTAGTTTTTGAATTTGCTTGGTTGATTTTTCTGCATTTTTTAATGACCTTCACATTAATTTATTTTTGCATGTGTGTACCTGTATGTTGTGTTGTGTGCTGTCTCAATTATCATAATTATGCTTGTCTAAGCAGGTATTTTAGAAAAAATTGGAGAATCTTTTTAATTGATTGTCTACAACTTGAATAAATCATAGTCAGATCTAAGTGACTTTATCCCAGAGAGAGAGATACATGTTTAGGGGATATATAAAATAGCTGTCTGTGAAGCAGTGTTAGAAATTGGCACAAGTCCTGTAGTCCTTGCCAAACTGCCCAATAGATAAGGTATCATAAGGACTAGTAGAAATTTGCCATTTTTAAGGGTTTTGCTTTATGTTATCATTATGAGGACTAGTGGACTAAAATGTTAGTTTCTCCGCTGTGAAGACATGGCCATTGGCTACCACTATTCCTTTGAGGTTTGGTGTCATATTTATTACTGTTACAATGAGATATGAGAGAAACTGTTATATTCACTGCTATTTCAATTTAACCAATGGGCCACCGTGAATACTTTACTGTTGTGTTAACCCTGTGTTCCTCCATGTAACGTGGTGTATAAAAGATGATGAGGTATTGAAGATACTGATAGGGATGACAAAGCTGAAAACAGAAATGCAGCAAATTCATTCATTTGATTAACACTGTTACTTACATTTATGTAAATACATGTATTGGTGTAACAGATCTTAATATGTATTAGGCCACACGTCGTTTCACAGGCCCGCCGTCCCTAGTAGCAAGTCAAAGAAATATATTAAACATAATCTTTTTTTCTTTTTTAATGTCTCCCGCTAGTAATATATCAATGATTCAAGAGGCCACCCATAAAGATCCTGCATAGAATAGGTCTTCAGCAACCCATGCTTGCTGTAAAAAGCAACCATGCTTGTAAGAGGTGACTAACAGGATCAGGCTTGCTGACTTCATTGATGCATGTCATCGTATACCAATTGCATGGATTGATGCTCGTGATGTCAATCACTGGATTGTCATGTCCAGACTCGATTATTTGCAGACCGCTGTCATAAAGCTGGAATATTGGTGAGATCGGCGTTAAACAACAAACAAAGAAAGAAAGAAAGAAAGAAAGAACAGCATTGATACTGATATGTCACATCAACAGTCTGATGACATGTTTACCATGTTTACAGCTAATAATAATCCTGTCTGGCATTAAACAGATAAACAAAAAAGATGTGAAAGAATATTATGTTTTCCTTACCTGATGCTACATAGTGCTTTAGCTTCCCTAACTTTAACAGAGAGACACAAACACGTTGCATATATTCAGGAATGCTCATACTTGTTTATATGTACCTGATCTTGATGATGGAATATTGCACTCTTGGCTTGTGAGTTATTTGATATTTGATATTGTTTTCAATGCTTGTATTCCGTCTAACCTGAATCACTATTAATTATGTTTATTTTTTCAGTTGTTCTGGACACAAACAAATGGTACCACTCTACCTTGAATGTGGGAACCGACATCAGCATCACCATCGGCTCGGAGTATGATTGAGTACACTGCTACAGTTGGTTAACTGTGAAATTCCATATTTGCACTGTCTTTTTTTTTTGTGGGTTTTATTTTAACTTGGCATTCTACACACTTTATACTTCATATAGATTGAAAGTCTGGTTTGAAACCGATCTCATTAAAATCTTTTCGGAGAGCGGTGTTTAATGGTAAAAAAAAATGATTTTAATGAGATTGGGCTAAATGTTTAGTCTCATTAGATATGGACACTGGTGTAGTGTACCTTCCTGTCAAACTAAAGAAGTGTTTCATTGTGATATCTAGTAGCATGATTTGGAGACATTTGCAGTATGCTTCCCCATTCATGACATTATAATAGCAGGATTGTTTCAGTAGTTTTCGTTACAAAAAGCTACATATTTCTGAATGTTCATTTGGTAAAATCGTTACTAAGATTGTTAAATCCCTAAATCTTCCTTCATGTCCCATGTGGTACGTTGTTGTATTGAAAGCTATTAACAATGTATCAAAAATGTAATTTATTCGTAAGATCCATGCATCTTGCTCACTTTTATTTGTCCATGAGGCTGTTTGTATTAAGAGCACACATGCTGTATTATATGCCATTCTTTGTCTGCCTGTATTCAGCAATGACAGCTGTATTTGTTGCAGATTTGTAGTGCTACGACATGGGACATTTGTTCAGTCTATCCTGTCTAGCAGAACAATATTTACTTGGGTGTACTCATGTCAACAAATCGTGTGTTTTATGCACGTCACGTACTATTGTGTGCTTGGTTTAAACCACAGTTGTTTTGACAGAATATGACAATGTCTTTTATTCATGTTGTTACAGTGTTGAAGAAGGCCGTGTGATTGTTCCAATAACATGGTAGTAGTAAATAATTTTCGTTTTGAAAAGAAATCCTCCTGAGGTATGGGTAAAGCAATATGTTCTGTGATTGATAAAAATGTCTTATTATGCACTTTATTCACCTCCTTACTCACATGATAACATAACATTCATACATATAATTTAAGGAAGTAAAAGTCAGCCATCTCTGCATTCAAGTTGTCATATACTCTCCATATACAACAAAGTCAGCCAAGTTTAGCATAGTAGCTCACAACATCCAGGTACAGCAAAGGAGTTTTCTCTTGTCTTTGCAGTTGAACATTCAGTGTTTCACGACTGTGTTCGTTCTTTCTATAGACTCGCTTTAGCAGGGGTGAGTGAGCACCGAAACCAATCTGGCTTAATTTGATGCGCTCACACTTCTCAATGGAACTGATGATTGTTCCTATAACAAGCCACTCCACAATCACATGATACGTAATAACATCACTAGAAAGAATATATGTATCAATTTCTTAAATTTATTTTTTAATCAATATATTTCTTATATTTATTCAAAGTGATCACTGTATTATTATTATTGATGTTCTGGAGAGGCTGGTCCATTATCAATGATAAGTGTAGGCCAGTTGTGGTTACATAACCCCTGTATCTATTACAGAGCTCTAGATAACTTTTTGAGCAATTGAGCTTTTACTCTAGGGTTTCTATTTTAATTGGGTTATTACATTTTTCATTGGGTAACCAATATTTTTTCACTCATCTATTCATCACTCTATTAGGTTTTTCCCCAAATGAGTGAACATTTTAAGATTTAAAAAAAAAAGAAATAATGTTTTAGATGTATATAAGTCTTCTAAATATATAGGCTTGACTCAGAGAGTAAATTAGTTCGTAATTGTGTTTCGGAAATTATCTCCTATGTACGCATGCTGAAAAAGCTTCATTGGGTATTTACGGGTGCTGTTTTTATAATTTGAGTTTTTCATTTATGCATGCGTTTCTGTAGGCAAGTTAATTGAAAGTAATTGGCTTTTGAATATTTTTAGGGGGTATTTTTCGCAAATGCGCTGCTTATCTGTAGCTCTGATATTATTGTATGAGTCGACTGATTGGTAGTGACGCAGGCTGGGATGAAAGTCTAATTATTAATTTATCATGGCTCAAGATTGGCATACGACGTCAGTCAGAACAACATGTTATTATGAGCCTTATGTAAATATTTTCACCATTGTAATATCTCTTGTTGAATGTACAAACTTTTCATATGATATTGTGTATTAATAAGAAAATCTTTGATGTATAAATTCTGAACTTCATAAATTATATTTGCTTTACATATGTATTGCCTTTAAGCTGAAATAAACATTTATAGTGTACACAGGTATCTTCATGTGTTGTAAGTGGACCATTTCTGACAAGAGAAGGGTCAGTCAGTGTAATGGGTACCAGTATTGGTACTTTGCGAGATCCGGGTTAGAATGTGTCTTCAGCAACCCATACTTGCCGTAAAAGGCCACTATGCTTGTCATAAGAGGCGACAAACAGGATCGGGGTGGTCAGGCTCGCTGACTTGGTTGATGATGCATGTCATCGTATCCCAATTGTGTGGATCAATGCTCATGATATCAATCACTGGATTGTCTGGTTCAGACTCGATTCTATGACCACCGTCAAATAGCTGGAATATTGCTGAGTGCAGCGTTAAACAACAAACCAACCAACCAACCAACCATGAAAAAAGTGCATGTGCAATGACCACATACTCAATTCTTGCATATTTCATATTTTTCAATTTTTATACCCCTGACCCAAATTAGCTGGGGGTATATAGTTTTACCAAGGAATTCCGTCTGTCCAACCGTCCTTCCAAAGACATTTTTGTGTGCGACCTATAATTTGAAAACAACTACATAGATTCTCTTCAAACTTTTATACCTATAGGAGAGGCACAGTGGGAAGTTTGAATTAGGTACTTGGATTTTCTGGAATAAAATACAGCTATTTTACATTTTTTTACTTAGAATCTTTTTACTGAAACATATGTGTGATCTATAAATAGAAACTGATTCATGGATTCTTTTCAAATTTAGGGAACAGCTTCCATACTAACAGAAGACATGCAGTACAAAGTTTAAATATGATATGTGTATTTTCTGAAAAATGTATGATTTTGTTCATGTTTTGAACTTTGAATAGTTTTTTACTTCAACATTTGTGTGACCTATAACTTACAAACTACTTTATGGAATCTTTTCCATTTTGGGGTACAGTTTCTATACTGATAGGAGAGGTGCAGTGCAAATTTGATTCAGATAAATGGGTTTTCTGAGAAAAAAGTGCTTTTTTCATATTTTGAACTTAGGTAGGAGTAATACAACAATACAATCTATTGTCCAAACTGCTGTTACAGTTCAATAGTCTTATCTGCCATAAAGAGACAACATGACATCGACTGTAATGCTATTTCAGTAATGCATTAATCAGAAATTGTACCAGTATGTGTTTGCTATTATTGTTTTTCCGATTTTCCAAACCCATTTATGATAACAGCTTGAACTAATGTATTCAAAAATAAGAAGGGGCAGTAAAAAAACATTCTTGTTCATTTTAGTTCACCAGCTTTTCTTCATGTGATTACAATTTTAAGATTTCATTCACGTTTGATGTTTCATGTTCACTGCTTACTAATGAAATATCCATATATAATTCAAGTGCTTCTGAATTTATTGATTCTATTATTTTAGTGCAATATATTTTGTAATAGACGAACATTTTCATTTTCGTTAATGATTCAACGTAAAACAAATCAGGTATATCAGGTGGAAGTAAGCTGTGAATACACTGTAACAAGACCCAGTCCTGACCCACCCTTATGTACCTAGTCTGATCAAGTAATGTTGTTTTTTCTGTGTGCTCACTAACATGCTCCTCGTACAAATTTTACAGGTTTAATTACAAATTTATTTACTTGTCTCGTGTGGGTTTTCGTCTGGCGACTCTGAACAATTTTCATTTTTTTTATCCAAGCTTCCAGAGTATATCTGAAAGTAGTGAATATTTCACCACTTGTTTTAACCTTTAGGAGCTTAGAAACGTTGAACACAGGTTTCAACATATAAACAATTCTCTGATCATGGATGGTAAAAATGCAACAAATGAGTTTCAGGTAATTGTCTGTTTAATTTAGCTAAGTTCGTATACAGTCAAGTCTCGTTAATCTGACACTCGTTAATCCGACAGTCGGCTTTATCTGACACTTATAATAGGAACTGATTAAATCAGTGCTATTTAGACCCGTTAATCCGACTGTCTCGCACTCCGACACTACTAATTTGCAACGAATTACCGAAATCACTCATTAATCAGTCTCGTTAATCCGACACTCCTCCACTTTTGATAGGGGTATTTTAGCTCTCCATGATACACAAAACTGACTTTCATAATATGTCAAGTGTATATTTAAATAGAATGACATATCTGACTATCCCTTTCAAAAGTTGAGTAGTATGTTTGATACAGATACTAGTGAGTGAGTGAGTTTGATTTTATGCTGCTTTTAGCACTGTTCCAGGAATATCACGGCGGGGACACCAGAAATGGGCTTCACACATTGTACCCATGTCGGGAATCGAACCCGGGTCTTCTGCGTGACGAGCGAACGCTTTAACCACTAGGCTTCCCAACCTCATTGATACAGCAGCTAAAAGTTGCTACTGTGTACCAGATACTGTAGGATGATATCCAACTATAGTCATGATGACATTCCCTGCAAACATAATCGGCTAAACAAACATACACTGGAAAAGATCTGACTTAGGAACTGGCTCTACATGTTATAAAGCTGAAGCAGCATAAAGAAAAACGAAAAACAGACTTCTATTTCTATGGCCAGTTATTTGGTAGTCTGATATAGGAACTATACATACATTTTATAATCACTGAAAGGATTACGTCTCATCAGAAACATCCCCAGTCTTTCCTGCATCGACTGCCTCCATGGTCTAGTGGTAGAGCGTCCGCCCGGAGAGTGGAAGGTCCGGGGTTCGATCCCAGGCCACGTCATACCAAAAGACGTTACAAGATGGCACTTGTTGTTACCCTGTTTAGCGCTCTGAAGTAAGGGGCTAAAACAAGGACTGGTCGGCTCGGAGTCAGTATACTGTGTCTAAGTGGGGTATTCATGTTAAACTGCGGTATGGCTAGCACTATAAATCGGCATCAGTCTGGACTAGTACAAGCAGCCACACATAAACATAAACACACACACGTGCATGCACGTCTGCGTTATAAGTCCAATAATCTTGAAGCGACGTTAAACCCATTCTCACCTCACCTCACCGTTCAGGCATCGGCAAAAATCTAGACAGCTTTATCAGTATCAAGGATGTGCCAGGCCAAGCATCAGAGCCCAGCATATACGAGGGGTGTTCATTAAAGATTTCCCCTGACCCACTTCCGATGGACCTAGTGGAATGAAACTTGGCATATGTATTAGTCTTTCTCCCCATAGGAACCACCAAGAGTTACACACTTCTCCCATCGTTTTATGCAACTATGGAGACCTCGCTTGTAAAAGCCCTCATTTTGCGTCTCAAACCAGGACTTGACTTCAGAAATCAGTGTTTCATCATCTGTGAAACGTTTTCCCTTCAAAAATGACTTCATGGTTGGAAAGAGGTGGCAGTCAGATGGTGCAAGGTCAGGAGAGTAAGGAGGATGTGGAAGGATTTCATAGCCACAGGACCGCGCTTCTGTCTGGGCAACATGAGAGTTGTGTACTGGAGCATTGTCTTGCAGGAGACGGACACCCTTGGTCAGCATGCCACGCCTCTTAAGCTTGATAGCGTCCCGCAATTTCCGCAGCAGTGAAGCATAATAAGCTCCTGTAATCGTGGTACCCTTTTCCAAGAAATCCATCATCACTACTCCGTGCTGGTCCCAAAACACCGTGAGCATGACCTTGCCAGCAGAGGGTTGGACACGTGCCTTCTTTGGGGGTGGTAACTCCACATGCTTCCATTGCATCGACTGATCATGACTGATCTCAGGATCATGATGGACCCATTTTCCTTCCTGTGTGATAAGTCTGTCAAAAATGTTTGCCTGGTTTTTTTTGGCACATGTCCATAAGATCCTTTGAGCAATTGACTCGTTCCTGCTTTTGGAAAGGTGTGAGCAACCTGGGAATCCATCGTGCAGACACCTTATGCATGTTCAAATTGTCATGGATGATTTTTTCCACAGACCCTACACTGATCTTGACATCTTGTGCTAACTGGCGAACAGTTATACGGCGGTCTGCCAAAATGGCGGTCTCCACTTGATGGATAGTGTCCTCATCAATGGCTGAATGGGGGCGACTAGGAATGGCAGCTGTTTCCACAGATGTCTGACCACACTTGAACTGGCGATGCCAGTGTTTAACAACGTCATATGATGGGGCATCTTCCCCAAAAGTTGCTTTCATTTCATCGAAAGTTTCTTTTGGTGTGCGACCTTTCAAATATAAAAACCTAATCACTGCTCGGTATTCCACTGGCTCCATTGTCACACCCTGCTCGATCATAACACATGTAAAAGTGGTAAGATTGATAGTTCGGTGCTGCAAATTCAGACATAACCCATAGATACATGTATCATTACACATGTGAAATTTCAACCAAATATGATAACCCTAAGTGGTTTAGGGGAAATCTTTAATGAACACCCCTCGTATATCATTTCCTATATCAGACTAGCCAAACAAATGACCACAGAAACAGAATCCCTAGGCATCTGATACTGTGCCTT